AGCCATAACAAAGGGCTCAAAATCTGGCCTCGACAATCCGCACCAAAAGTATGAACAGGGATACCATCCATGAGCAACAGAGCACTGTTAGTACTCTGATACTTTACAACTGTTGATGGAGTCAGCTTCTCTGAGAGCTATTAAAGAGTTTCGGAAACTTGGCTACTAACCGGCTTGAGAACCATAAAACTTAGAGTTTTAGAGCTTTACCTTCATTAGGATATAATAGGATGAGTTGTCTAGTCATAAAAACAGGTACACAAAGTAAAACCCATGCATTACACTTATATGTAAATTTCAGGTAAAGAAACCATGGTAACCTGACCTGACATGTAAATTTCATGTAAATAACATGTAAATTTAGTATAATAGTATAATTGCAAACTTATCATTTTTTATTTGTTTATTTGTTAATTATTTAGAATTCTAATAATTCCAATGATGGCTTATTGTCATTAAAATTTTTCAGTACTCATTTTGTTTCAAGCTTTTTTGGGGGTTTTTGATGTTTGTTTGTTCTGGTTTTTCTTTTTTTTTTTTTTTTTTTTGTTTCTGGTTTTTCCTCCATTATTTATTTTTTTTTTTTCACTTATAACCTTTATATCTTTAACCTAAGTTATATAAGTATTTTTTATTTATAGTTTAATCTAGAAGTTATATTAGTATTTTTTATAATCTTATAATTTTATGAAATTTAAATTTAATTTATTTTTATATAAAGTTAATATTTTTTTAATTACTTTTAACTATTTTTTTTTTAGGATCAAGATGAAATTATTATCAGTTATCCTTCAATGTTTGAACTTATGCATGATTTGAAAGGTCAGTTTAGCCACTGTTATGCCCAGAGCTCTTGTCAGTTATTTTAGGTTCTCTTATATTTTTGTTGGTTATAGTTAAGTCTCTTATATTTTTGTTAGAAAAATAAGTGAGTATTAGGTTAAACATAACAAGTCTAGCAAGTCTTAATGTCTTTTATTTATGTAGGAATGGGTGAAAACAATGCAACATGGACAAGAAAAAATATCTTGCATAGAGATTCTATGTTAGCTGCTGCCGCCATATATAATGGTAATGACATTTTTTTATTTAGTCAGAAGCAAAAAAATTAGTCATGAGAGGACATTTTTTAAATTAATGTTTAATTTTTTGAATTAATATATTAATTTAAAAAATTATTATATTATTATTATTAATATATTAATTTTTTTAAATTAAAATTAATGATGAAAATTTGAAGGTAGTGAGTAAGATTTCTTATAATCTTTGAGATTATAAGATTTTTGTAAACCTGATTTGAAAGTTGATATTTATGCAAAAAGAGACTTTAAATGAGCTCAAAAAAACAAGATTTTTTATATATTGATAAAAAATCTAGTTTCAAATATAATCAACTCTAAAGAGTTTTTTTAAGAATAAGAAGTTGTTATTTGAAAACTCAAAAAACATCAAAAAAAGTTCTTGAAGATAAAAGGAAATAATTATTTTATGGAATTTTAATTATAAAATTCTTTATGAATTTACATTTATTTTGAAGTTATTAGTTATTCTACCACTTTGATGCATGACTATTTTTTTTTCATTGTTTTAGTGTTATATACCACTTTGCCGCATAACTATTAGGGTGTCAATTCTTTTCTTTCTTTTTAACTGTTTTTTAAATTCACATAATTACTATGTAAAAAGATGCTCTATGTTTCCTTAAAAGCTCACAAAAAATTTTTTAGTTCAAAAGTCTAAGAGAAAGAGTTTTTTGTGAAATTTGGTTTAGGACAACTCAATAAGTGCAAACTTCGTAAGTGTGAATGACCTAAGTGCGAACTGTTATGATTGCAAACTGTCCTATGTGCCTACTGGTATAAGTGCGAAGCGGTTGCAAAAACTGACATAAATACAAACTGGCATAAGTGCACCAAAGGAATTTGTAAACATTGGCATAAGTGCAAATTTTGCACTGGTCTTTGAAGTAACTTTTCTTCTGTTGAGTCTTATTTTTTGCAAAGTTCACCTAATTGCTCTTTGTGAGAATAATTTGAGTTCAACTTTCTCATCTTATGATATTAGTGTTGATGGTTATCTTCCTTTAATTCGTAAAGACTCCAATAGTCACATGCTTAGCTTGGACATTTTATTTGTAAGACTTCACCTATTTGTCAGAAAACTAGGATTGAAGCCACAGACTATTCTTTTATGTGTTTTCCCTTATATGTGCACCACTTCACTCTGTCACTTTTTTCTTTGTTTTATATCGCTCTCCTTCATCTCAAGACTGCACTCTTTTTCGAATACTCCAGCTTCTGTATCTAAAGTGATTTCTTGCTTCAGATTTTTCTACAGCTTGTGGTCCAGACAACATACCTGTTATAGTCTTGCAGAAGTGTTCTCCGGAGCTGTCGTCTATCCTTTCAAAACTATTCAACAAGTGCTTATTAGAGTCTTGTTTTTCAGCCTGCTGGAAAGCAGCATCTGTTATCCCTATTTTTAAAAATTCTCGAGAGCG